ATTACAAAACAAGGGTATACATAGGCAATAAAGGTGCATGTGACACACAGAATATTGTTGTTTGGTTTTTTAGAATCCAAAAGGTCCGGCCTGGAGCCCAGAGGAAGGAAGTGGCAGAAATGGAAGCCACCACTACCAACAACTTTAGCACACAACCCCCAGGCCAGTCAGCCCATGCACGGCCTGTGAAAATGTTATCACCTCTTTTTGCAAACATTACTGAAACTAAGCCATAATAAAGGGCCTAGCTGAGGTTGGAGCCAGTTCAGGACAAGAAGGGAGACCCGAAAGTGGAAGAAAATATTGTCCAACACTGGTTTTTGACATTTACTGTAGTTCTCTTAAAGTCGGCTGTTTCAGGACAGAGCAAAGGAAGCAGGTAAAGCCCGGCCTGGCCAACCCCACTACTCTGAACATTCCGCTGGTCTAAGGCCTAACTCAGAGAACCCAGGCAAAGAAAGGGACATGATGGGCACAACCTCCCGCAGGCACTCTAGACCTGTCTCCCAGCGGCCAGATCCGCTGATACCTTTGTAGTGGACACGGAGGTTTCCCTGGGAGAGGCCGATGTAGTTGTACTTGTCCTTGGGGCTCCAAGATCGCGGCAGCGGTGTTTCTTGCTGATTAACTGCAGGGTACAAGCGCTGCAGGCGCTGGCTCAGTTCCTGCTCCCCGGGTGACGGTAGCCCGCCCCCGGCATCCCCACCGGAGGAGTCCCCAGGCTGCGGGTTCCCAGCTCCCGGGTCTGCCGTCGCCGCCGCCATCTTGGAGGGAGCTGCTATTGTGTCACTGGGGGCGGGGAGGAGTGCAACCAGATCTGCCTTGCTCAGCCAATGGCCTGTGAATATCCCGGGGCCGTAGGGAAACTGAGTCCAAGTCCGGGAAGCTTTCTTTGGACACTACTACGCTTCGCCAGCTATTAAACTACATATCCCACAAGACAGAGCGTTCTAGAGGCCGGCCAACGCGGGCTCCTGGAGAACTTCGGGAGGTGTAGTACACACCTGCTTAATCACAAGTCCGTACAACGGAGACTATGAGACAATGGAAACTACTATTCCCAGCCAGCCAAGTGGCCAGGCTCGAAGCTCACCTCCCTTGTCCACAGTCTCAGTTTATTCTCCTGCCTCAGCTCTGTAGCTGATATCAAACTTGGTGCACTGACTGGTTCTCAGAACACCCTGTCCCCGAGTCCAAGCCTTTCCTTTACTACTTGACCTTTCTCCAGAGTGCTCGTGGGCGGGCTGAAGGCGGTTCGCGGTCGTGACCCCGCCCTTACCGCGGAGCCCGCTGGGTGCCTGTCTCCATGGCAACGGACTGTACACTACAGCGACTCCTAAATCATGGCCAACCCCGGGACGCATTGCCAGGAGACGCATTGCCACAGTTTCTCCAAGTCAAGGTAGCACCTGACGGAGCTGAGGGAGGGGAGGACTTGAGAACTTCCACAGTGCGAAATGAGACTGATCCGCACCGCGGCACTATCTGTTAATCTCTGTTCTCTGGGCTAGGGCTCCGGTGCCACAGAATCAGTGATACAGAAACAGTTTAATAAGAGCGTTATGTGCTGCCAAAAGTGCAGGCGTACTTTGTCATTACATAGATGATCTTAGTCAAAGATTGAAAAGCTCCGGGCGGTGGTGGTACAAGCCTTTAATCACAGCACTTGGAAGGTAAAGGCAGGTAGATTTCAGTAAGTTCGAGGTCAGCCTGGTCTACAAGCGAGTTCCAGGACAGCCAGGACTACTACACAGAGAAACTTTGTTTCGAAAAACAAAGAGATTGAAAAGCATAGTGTCTTATCATATGTGAAGCCCTCACCACAGCTCTTGTACATAAGAAGAATTTGGGATCTAATGAATGCTGGAACAGCCTTGTGCTCATTCCCAGTATTGGGGGAAGGGAGAGGGAGGCGACTTCATTTCAACTCTAATCTTTCAGGGTCTGCTGCCTTGATAGAAAAAGGTTACAGGGGCTGGAGAGAGGGCTCAGAGGTTAAGAGCACTAGCTACTCTTCCAGAGCACCGGGGTTCAATTCCCAGCAGCTCACAACTGTCTGTAACTCCAGTTCTAGGGGCTTTAATACACTCACACAGACCTACATGCAGGCAAAACACCAATGTATATAAAATACTATATATATATATATATATGGCTCACCTTAATCCAAGCACTGGTGAGGCAGAAACTAGATGATCGCTGTTAGTTCCAGGACAGCCAGAACTGTATGGAGAGATCTAATAATAATAATAATTTTTGAAAGCCTACAGAAGTTCCCAATCACAGAAAATGCCAATGCTATGATTTGGTCTAGAGCTTTAAAAAAAATTAGTCTACAATAAACAGGGAGCAGGCTGAAAAAAAAACATAATCTAGGAAATTTATTATCTAAGAAAAAATATGTAATAGGGATGGGGCTATAGCCAAAATGTACCAGGTTCTGGATCCCCCAGCAACACAAATAATGTGAAACAGACTCAGAATCTTCATTCCACAGGAAGGGGGGAAGCACAATGTAATTTCTATGAGCTGGTTTGTTGACAATGTGAACTACTCATTCACTTATCTCTTCTTCTGGCTGTAGGAAGTGACACAGTTTCCCTTATAGAGATGCAGTGTGTGTCTTCTCCTCCAGACCTTAGAGAGGGACAACATGATGTACAGACCAGAGGTTAGCACTGTAGAATGTAGGCAGAACCTGATAAAAGAGACCTTTGAGTTTTATATTCCCTCAGGAAATGTGTATTCTTTTATTCGGAGGCAGAGGCAGGTGAATCTCTGTGAGTTCGAGACCAGCCTAGTCTACAAGAGCTAGTTCCAGGACAGCCTCCAAAACCACAGAGAAAACCCGTCTTGGGAAAGAAAGAAAGAAAGAAAGAAAGAAAGAAAGAAAGAAAGAAAGGAAGGAAGGAAGGAAGGAAGGAAGGAAAAGAAAATCAATTGCCTTTAGTCAGTTAAATAAGTTAAATAACTGAGTTTTCAGCCAGGTGGTAGTAGCACACACCTTTAGCCCCAGCACTCGGGAGACAGAGGCAGGAGGATCTCAGTGAGTTCAAGGCCAGCCTAGTCTACAGAGTGAGTTGCAGGACAGCTGGGGCTATTAACTGAGAAACCTTGTCTTAAAAAAAAATACATAACAAATAGATAATAAAATACTAAGGTCTAGAGAAATGACCCAGTAGTTAGGAACACTGACTACAATTTCGTAAGATCTGTGTGAGATTCCCAGCATCCACGTGGTATCCAATGTTGTCTTCTAGCCTCCAGAGGAAACACTCATGCTCATAAAATGATAAAATAAGAAAAGCAGTTAGAAATGTAAAGTAAATAAAGCATCTGTTTTGGTTGCATCTCTCCTGGCTGTGCTTGGTTTTCATTTTGGTTGAAATCTAGTTTTTATGTCCAAAGGTAACAGCTATCACCTAACAACTTTTCTGTTTGGCAGTTTTTCCTGATTTCTAGAGTACTACATGGTGTCCTAATTACTTTTCCCTTTCATGGTAGTTACAGTATAATCAAGAACAGAATTTTATCAGGAAGCAGAGGCAGATGGTTTTCTATCAGTTCAAGGCCAGCCTGATCTACAGAGTGTTCCAGGCCAGCCAGGGCTACACAGAGACTCCATGTTTAAAAAATCAATACAGAATTTTGACCAGGCATTTAGTGAATGGCTATAATTCCATGACTCAGGAAACTTAGGCAGGTTCCCAAGTTTAAGAACATTCTGAATTACATAGTATGACCTTATCTCAAAAATCAAATTTTTAAAAAAGCCAGGCATAATGGTTTATGCTAGTAATCCCAGGGCTCAGGAAACAAAGGGAGGAAGATCACTACCAGACCAGCCTGGTTTCAGGTCAGCCTAGGATACAGAGAACCATCCAAAAAATAAGTAAATAAATGAATACATTCTTTAAGAACAGTATTTGAGATAGTGACTGATCCTGAGAGAAAAGTATTACTTTAACCCAATGAGCAATAAAAGCTGTTACACCATATCTTGTTGCTCTCCAATATGTCTTTTAAAAACAACAAGACAGAAGGTGGTGGTGTTCACCTTTAACCCCAGCAATTCGGAAGACAGAGGCAGTCCAATGTCAGTGAGTTCAAGGCCAGCCTGGTCTACAAAACAAGTTCCAGGGCAGCCAGGGCTACACAGTGAACCCTGTCTCCAACAAAAACAATATTGGAGATTGAACCTGAAACTCACACATACTCTGCCACCCACTGAGGTATATGCTTTAATTTCTTTATTTTGTTTGAAGACTAGGCTGGCCTCGAACTCACATAAATCTGCTGACCTCTGCCTCCTAAGTGCTGGGATTTAAAGTTTGTGCCACCATGCCTGGCTCAGCCCCCTTCTGCATTCAATTTTGAGAGGATTTTGACAAGTTACCCAGGATGGCTTTAAACTTACAATCCTGCCTCAGTCTCCTAACCACCTAGGTTTACAGAACTGTGCTACCAGACCCAGTCCATGATAGTCACAAAGGCACATATACATCAGGTGACACCTGTCCTCCACGATGGTTGCTTGTCCACATGATTGTCCACAGTTGTGCAATTTTAAGTGGTACTAAAGGACTATGGTTTGGGGTCTTGCTGCTCCACTAGGGGAGATCTGAGGGATCCTGCAGAACTGAGTTTCCCAAATAAGTTCAGATGTGTTTGGGTAATACTAATCTCACTTTTTTATGAGCAAAGGAAGTGAGATATAGCAACATACTTAATTAAGGTCACTAGCTAGGACATACAGGCCAAGCAGTGGGAGCACACACCTTTAATCCCAACACTCAGGAGGCAGAGGCAGGTGGATCTCTGTGAGTTCCAAGCCAGCCTGGTCTACACAGTGTTCCAGAACAGCCAGGGCTTCATAGACAGACCCTGTCTTGAAAAAAGAAAAGGGAAGGGGAGCGAGCTATGTCCTTTGGATCTGGGTTGGAGATCTCTCCCCTTTATGGGCTCTGTCACCCATCACAGCTTCTTTTCTACACAGAAGTCCCAAACAATCTTCAGGAGGGACTGCAGAAGCGAAGGCTGTTGAGAAACGCAAGCTTTCTCAGAAACGAAGAACACTGGTCAGTGATTCTCTTCTTTTGGAGCCCCACGTGTCACCCTCTACAACCTGTCCTGTCTTATGCCTACAACCCAAAACATACCCAGGAGACTAGTTTCTTCCCAGTCAGAGGAGTGCAGCTCACAGAAACCAGACACAATGCCAGTGTTAGGTTAACACCAGCTCCTGCCAAGGTCCTTTAGTGCTGTAACTGTACCTTTATGGTATGTCTTTATGGCCCTAGGTCTGATGGAGTACTTGAGTTGCATAAATACTTATGAACAAGCATATGAAGACAGAGTCCTGGGTGTTTTGGTTCTGAATTCCGCCCCAAATAACCCAAAGAGACACTGTATTAACTATGAAACTGTTGGCCAGGTTACAAGAATTTCCTTTTTTAATTATTTTTTTAATGTGCATTGGTGTGTTGCCACGGAATCAGAGTTACAGACAGTTGTGAGCTGCCATGTGGGTATTAACTTTAACATAGTAAAATTACATATAACAAAAACAGTTATTAAGCAAGAACTAGAATTACAATCCATTAGTATTATCAAGAATTAAAGAAAATATTCTATCATCTATCCTATCTTTGTGAGTCTAAAGTCTTATATGTAACTTATATTTAATCCTAACTAAGGAAAACTGTAACCATAGCAATCTGTTTTCAACTCCATCAAAGATCACAGAAGGATAGTATATAAACTCTAGAAATGACAGATATCTCACTACCCAAACAATCATCCAAAGTTCTTCTGTAAATTGGCGCATCCATCTTTGGCCCATAGGCCACAGCATGTCTGGCAGACTCCTCAGCAAAGCAGGAAACTTTAAACTGTCCACCTGTATTAGCAGTTTGTCAGTCACTTTTCTCTGTATCCTTCAGAATATCTGGCAATCTCTTCCATGAAGCATGAACCCTGTAGTACTGTCCATCTTGTTTCAGCAGTCACTTTCCTGTGGGTCCTGCATGTCCAGTTTATACTGCATAAAGTCAAACAGTCCAGACAAGAGCAGTTTCTTACCCAAATAGCTAGTCTTGCCATATTGGAAGCAAACTCCATAACGAGTTTCTTCAATGTCTATCTTCCTTTCTGATGAAGATGGTGTTGCCAGCAGCAGTTATGTCTCACTGTCAAGAAAAACCCTAAACCATTTTAAATGCCATATTCTGTAGGTCTTTGAAAGGTTTGAAGAATGCCTATCAAATTGAAATATCTCTCTATATATCTAGAAAACCTAACCAACCTAACTATAAGCTTTGACTATCATAGGTAACTATCTAGAGTCTGTACTTAGTTATACATTACATTTTAAATGAGCTATGTAAACACAATACCTAAACAAGAGGAGAAATATACATATCACAAAATTGACCTTAAATTTGTATCAATAAATGAAAGTCCATTCTGAAACAAAGTATTTATTCCTATACCATAATCCCCTTTTTACCTTTAAAAAGAGATTGGTTGTGGTCACTAACCATTTATAACCAACCCCATTTAAATGAAAACAAACACTTATACACAATATTTGGGAATTTGCACTTTATTCTTTCCAAACTGCTTCCTGCTGGTTAGGGATGCTGCTGTAATACCGTGGGAATCCTAAGAAGACGCTGAAATCTTGCTGTAGTCTGCAAGGCTGCCTTCTCCCAGCTGTTTTGAATGTTGGATCACCTGGAACACTGTTTCAGGGGGTCTTGCTTGATCAAATCATATTAGTCTGTAAGGAATCCACAGCTTTTTATTTTCTGTGAAAACAAAAATAGAAATTCTTTTCCCCAGTAACCTGTCCTTAGACTTAAAACTTGAAGTCAAAGCATTTTTAAAATATATAAATTGGATTAATTCAGCACCATTGATAATCAAGTGTATTTTATTAGTTGTTGTTTCTTCCTTAGCAACTGAGCAATTCAAAGACAACACAATAGCATATAGTATCCAAACTCTCTGTGTATTTCCCATCTTTGGTGGCTTTTTTATTACTCTTTTTTACTTCTATTTTTTCATTTTTTGAGACAGGGTTTCTCCATGAACCTTTGTCTGCCCTGAAATTCACTCTGTAAACCAAGTTCGATTTGAAATCAGAGATTTTCCTGCCTCTGCCTCCCGAGTGCTGGGACTAAAGGCAGGTGCCACCACTGCCCGGTCACTTTTTTTCTTTTTTAACCAAATAATCCTTTTTATTTTCTCTCCCAAGCTTATGTAAATTTTTAAACACACTGTAAAAACCTTTTAGGTTTTACTTAATCTGAATCTGTCTTTACTTTGGTGTTTTGCCGTTTATGCTGTTAGGAAGACTCCCTTAAAGGAGCCACGCAAGTCTGCTTGTCTCTAGCAAAACAGAGCCTGACCAAGAAAAATGCTGCTACCAAGAAGACTTGCTTGTCTCTGTTCTTTTGGTTTTAAAATATCTTTTTAAGCTTTTGTCAAGTTTTAAGTGGAAGTTCTTAGTACCCATGGTACAGGCGCCATTTTGTTACTAGCACTATCCCGCCAGCCTGGTCCTACAGCCATGTCAGCCCCAAATAACATACAGAGACTCTACTCGTTACAAAGCTGTTGGCCAATGACTAGAGCTTCTTATTTGCAAGCTCTGTCTTAGGTATTAACTCATTTCTATCAATCTAAGTGTTTCCACCTGGTCTTAACGGAGAGAGAGTTCGGATCTCCTACACTTCTCAAGGCCTACATCCTGACTCCTCTCTACCACATTTCCCAGAATCCTCCTTGTCTCCTATGCCCCCATTTCTTGCTTCCCTATAGGACAACAGTGCTATATTCATTAACCAATAAGAGAAACACATTTACAGAATGACATCTCCCATCAGTCCATACACTTTAGCAGGCAGGCCCCCTGTCTAAGGGAGAATAGGGCAATATGAACTCTGAAGAGAACGGGTGCAGCCACAGTAAAGCAGTGGTTCTCAACCTTCCTAATCCAGCGACCCCTTAATACTGCTCCTCATGTTATGGTGATCCCCAACCATAAAATTATTTTCCTCTTTTTTTAAGATTTATTTATTTATTATATATACAGTATTCTGCCCACAAATATACCTGTGCACCAGAAGAGGGCACCAGCTTTCATTATAGATGGTTGTGAGCCACCATGTGGTTGCGGAATTGAACTCAGGAAGAGCAGCAGCTGAGCCATCTCTCCAGACCCATAAGATTATTTTCAATGCTACTTTATTACTGTAAATTTACTACTGTTGTGAATTTCTGTGTTTTCTGGTGGTCTTAGGTGACCACATGTTGAGAATCATTGCATAAGGCGAGTTTCAGTTGATTCCAGCCTCAGCCACTTGCTCGCCAGGTGCCTGACTCAGTTTAGACCTGCAGTCCAGGCACTTTTGCTTTTTTCCTATGGTGTTGTCACCAACCACCAGAGGGGGATGTTTCTCTCCCCATTACCCGGAAGTGAGGCACCTTCCGGTTTTTACCTGCAGGGGGAAGCAGAGAGTTAGGAATGTGGAAGAAAGATGCTTTCTTAGAAACAACCCTTGGGCAGAAGCCCTGAGGAGCTGCTAAAAAGCCTGAAAAGCAGCAGCTACTTGCCCAGTTTATTGAGTTTTCATTCGCCTGCGCAAATCAAAGTAGGTGCCTATGGTTTTGTTTTGTTTTGTTTTTTTTCTTTTCTTTTTCTTTTCTTTTTTTTTTTTTTTTTTTTTTTTTTTTTTTTTTGGTTTTTTGAGACAGGGTTTCTCTGTATTGCTTTGGAGCCTATCCTGGAACTCGATTTGTAGACCAGGCTTGGACTCACAGAGATCGCCACCAATGCCTGGCATTTCCCTTATTTTATAGTTTTTTTGTTGTTGCTGTTGTTGAGATTGTAAGCATTGTGGCTCGGGAAGGGATCCTCGCAGTCAGGATCCAAGGAATACTAAGTGTTATAGCTTGGATGAAAAAGTATTCTGGCAATCAGGAACCAAGGAGTATCACAGGTCACAGTAAGAGTAGCAGTTTACAACCCCAGCATCCACAGAGTGTAACACTTCTTGCTCTACTAGGGGAAGGTTTCCCTAGTGAAAGGCTTACAGCGCCGCTCCACTCCAGGCTCCATCTCTGTCCTTGTCAAAGAGGGGATTCATCATCCAAACTTCATTCAAGAGATTTACTGGGAGGGAAAAATATAGAAGAGTGGCTGCCTTTGCCTGGGTGGGAAAGGCAGCAGCAAACTGAACAAGCACAGGGCTCATATAGGGCTTCTCAGGGGCGGGATTTTCAAGGGAAAAGATTTTCAGGATGGGAATTGGTCAGATTTCAGTCCCTTGAACTCAGATTGTCTAGATCTCATGCTCAGGGATTGGTTTGTTTTTCTACTCAGGGATTGGTTTTCTGCTTAGTTAGTCAGGGGCAGATTTGGCTCTGGTTTCAGGGCCAAAGTGTGTTTATTTATGTATTTCTTTCCCTGGCTCTGATTCTGTGACCAAAGTGTGCTTCTTTGGCCCTGGTAAAAGGTTCAGAGTGTGCTTCTTTGGCTCTGGTCAGGATGTTTATTTGGCTGGTCCTTTTTCCCTACAGAGATATGGTCTCATGTAGCCCAAGCTGGCTTTACATTCTCTGTGTATTTTAGGATTACCTTGAACTCCAATCCCCCTGCCTCCACCCCCACCCCCACCCCAGTGCTAAGATTTCAGGAGTGTGCCAGCCCATATGGTTTACTTATTTTGAGTCAGAGTCTCACTATGTATTGTGGGTTTTTTTTTTTTTTTGTTTTTTTTTTTTTTTTTTTTTTTTTTCACTCTTTCAGTGCTCTCCACCCGGATCCCAAATAAGTACACTGAGAATTATTCTTACTTATGAATGCTGGCCTTAGCTTGTCTTGTTTCTAGTCAGTGTTTCTAACTTAAATTATCCCATTTCCCTTTAACCTGTTTTGCCTTTTTTGCCTTTCTTTGTTCTATATATGTTTCTTTTCTTCATTCTCCTTGGCTGGCTGTATGGCTGTGTGACCAGTCTCTGGCATCCTCCTCTCCTGCCCCTTTTCTTGATCCTTGCTCTTCCCTAGGTTTCTCCTCCTATTTATTCTCTCTGCCCTCCAGCCCCACCTGTTTCTCTCTTCTGCCTGGCTATTGACTGCTCAGCTCTTTATTAGACCAATTAGGTTTTTTAGGCAGGCAAAGTAACACAGCTTTACAGAGTTAAACAAATACAACATAAAAGAATGCAACAGATCATTTGCATCATTAAACAAATGTTCCACAGCATAAATGAATGTAACACATTTTTGAGACAGGGTTCCTCTGTGTAAAAGCCCCAACTGTCCTGGAACTAGCTCTGCCTTCCCAGTGCTGAGATTGAAGGCGTGCAAACCACCACCCAGCACACAACTTAAACTAATATTCTACAATATTTCCCCTTTTTATCTAAATAAAAATGAAAAGTTTTAACTGTAACATAATAAAAATATGTATCAGAAACAGTTATCAAGCTCAGTTATCTCAGTACTCAGGAGGCAGAAGTAGGTGGATCTCTGTGAGTTCAAGGCCAGCCTGATCTATAGAGTGAGTTCCAGGACAGTCTCCCAAGCCACAGAGAAACCCTGCCGCAGGGGGTAAAAAAAAAAGAATTGCACTTACAATATTCAAATCTAACAAATTCAGAGAAAATACTCCATTATCTAACTTATCTTAGCGATAGTTTAATACCTAATTTACTTTCTACCATATCTAAGGGGAAATATACCTTTTTTGTTTGTTTTTGAGACAGGGTTTCTCTGGCATTTTGAATTTTCTGATCTTTTTTTTTTTTTTTTTTTTTTTTTTTTTCCTGAGGCAGGGTTTCTCTGTGTAGCCTAGGCTGTCCTAGAACTTACTCTGTAGACCAGGCTGGCCTCTAACTCGGAGATCTGCCCCCATCAGCCTCCCAAGTGCTTGAATTAAAGGCATGTGCTCACCAATTTCTGTTGGATTTTCTGCTCTCTTATTTAACTTGTCATGCTCATTCTCAATTTATTTATTTATTTATTTTATATAACAAAGTCCATCTAAATGAAAACATTTAAACATTTATAGCCAATATTTGGGAATTTGGGCATTGTTCTTTCCAAACTACTTCCTGCTGGTAAGGGGCGCTGTCATGGGGGATTCGAAGAAGATTCAGAAATCCTGGCTGTAGTCTGTAAGGCTGCTTTGTCCAGCTGTTTTGAATGTAGGATCACCTCCTACTCTGTTTCAGGCGGTTTGGCTTGATCAAACCACATTAGTCTGGAAGGAATCCACAGCTTTTCATTTCCTGTGGAAACAAAAATAGAAATCCTTTTCCCCAGTAACTTGTCCTTCAACTTAAATTTTGGAGTCAAAGCATTTTTTTTAAAATTTATTATTTTACATGTCGATCCCAGTTCCCTCTCCCTCCCTCCTTCTCTCCCTCCCTCCCTCCTTCCCTCCCTTTTACCCTCTCTGCCCTCTCACATGCACTCTAACCACCCTCCCATCCCCCCACCCCAATTCCATATGTAGGGGAATGTCACCCAGTTGGGGTCATGTAGGTCTGACAGGTCATGTGAAGTAGGGACTAGGGCTTCTCTCCTGTCTCTAGATTAAGGCAGTTCTCCCTCCATGGGGGATGTGTTCGCAAAGTCCTTTTGTGCACCAGTGATACATCCTGGCTCCACTGTCTGAGGTCCCTTAGACTGCTCAGTCCTTCTGGCTGAGACCAATATTCAGGGGGGCCTGAGTCAGTCCCATGCTGGCTTCCCAGCTATCAGTCTAGTGGCCGTTAGCTCCTCCTTGTTCAGGTAAGCTGTCTGTATGTGTTTCTGCCGCATGGTCTTGTCCTCTCCATCTGCATCTGGGTTCTAGTTCGACTCAGTGTTTATGTATGGGTGTTTGATCCTGTTTCCAACAGGCATTAGTTGAGGGCTCCATGGAGAAGTTAGTTGTTGATCTCTCCGGGAAGGGAATTTATGATAGCCTTTCCACGGAAGCTCAAATTGTTAGTTGGGAGCAATCTTGTAGTTCTCTAGACCTTTCTTTGTGTTCAATTTTATCTTCAAACCAATATGCTCATTCCCAATTATAACAATTTTCTGTTTCTAGATTTAAAATTTTTCTCACAATTCAAAGTTTACATTTGGCATCACCCTGTGTGTAACCATGTTGTTTCATTTGTCTCCCTCTGCACCAGCTGCCTGGACTTCTTGCCTCCAGCCTCCTTAACTAGAGTTTCAGGTACCCTGCTATCTGTTAGAATCAGCTCCTTATTCATAACTCTTAAAAAGCCGCAACCCTTGAGCTGTTGGTGCTATCCAAACATCTTTGCAGATTCCCACCACATTCTTTCTGCAACTGACTGTAGCTTCTCTCATGTTCTCATTTGAGTCATACTTTGTAGTTGCCTTATTCTGAGCTGACTAGCCTCCCCCAGCACATCCCAGTCAAGGCTTCCTGTGCTTCTGTAACCTTCATTGGTTTCAGTCACTTCATGTTGACTTGTGATTAGCAATTCATTTGTCGCCCTATTCCCATTGTACCCAGCTTTCCTTGTGTCTCTGGAACCCAGCAGTGATTGGCATATACTATGAACTCCAAAATGCCAAAGAATAAATAAAGGACACACATTTATGAAATCCTAAAAATAGGATTGACTGGACATATTTTTCTATGCTGAATTTCATGAAAAACAATTTTAAAAAAATAAACCCATACATACTATTCCCTACCACATGCATCTTCTGATTGTTCAGAATGAGGTCACATTCACTAGGGGACCCTCACCTACTTCCCCCTCCCTCAATGGATGCAACCCAGTCTTTTCCCAGGCTCCGTTTATTGCAGCTCTGTAGACCTGGCTGTCTTGTCCATTTAGGCATTAGCCTGGCCTTACCTTCCTCTCTTGTTTCTTTAGCTATACTATACCAAAATGCAGGGATGGGGCTCTTCAGCATTCACATTTGTCTATCATAGCACAGGCATTCAGTGCTCTCTGACTCACCCACAGAAGAGTATAACTTATACTTCTAGGTTCCTAACAGGCACTACAGTGCATAAATTACACACTATATTTTCTCATGGCATCCTTCCCTCTGTGCATTGAAATGGTGAGTGCTATTAACCCTACTTTGCAAATGAAAGACTGAAGCAGAGACACTTAGGTGGTAATTGCACATGACTTTAATCTCAGCACTCAGGAGGCAGAGGCAGGCAGATCTCTGTGAGTTCAAGGCCAGTCTGGTCTACAGCCGTGGCTACACAGAGAACCGCTGTCTTGAAAAAAGAAAAAGAAAAGACTGAGCCTCTGAGCAGTTAAACCTATGCTCACACTGCTAATAAGAAAAATTTGAGATTTATTCCTGTCTATAACCAAAAGACTACAATCTTAATTATGGATCATATTAAAAATGTTTGTATAAGCCAGGCAGTAGTGGCGCATGCCTTTAATACCAGCACTTGGGAGGCAGAGGCAGGCAGATCTCTGTGAGTTCAAGGCCACCCTGGTCCCTGGTCTAAAGAGCTAGTTCCAGGACAGCTTCCAAAGCCACAAAGAAACCGTGTCTTGAAAAACCAAAAAAAAAAAAAAAAAAAAAAAAAGGTAAAAAAGTTTGTATGCTGCTGACACATAGCTGTGATCTGTGATCCCAGCATACAGGAGTTGGGAGAAAATAGGTCTCAAGTCTAAGGATAGCAAGGTCTGTATAACAAAAGTAAGTGTGTGTGTGTGTGTGTGTGTGTGTGTGTGTGTGTGTTATGTGTGGTATGTGTGTGGAGAGATGCAGAAGATTAGAAAGGGAATAGGCTGTGAATACAGCTCAGTAGTATAGTCCTTACTTAAATGTGTGAGGTAGTTCTGTCTTATCCTCAACAAAATCTCAATATCTCAACCCTCAACAATACCAAAAAAGTGAAAGGGAGTAATGTTGCCATAGTAACAACCTCAGTTGTCCCTTCCTTAAGCCCTTGCAGTTATCCATGGGTGGCCACTTGTCCCCATGGCCAACATACACCAGTGGCCAGATGATTCTACATAAACGAAAGCCCTGTTCGGAGGACTGCCGGAAGCGAACCAAGTAAGCTAAGGCCAGCCTGATGGGGATGGGCTAGTCTAGATTAGGTATTGGTTCAGGACATATAGCTTAGTGGAGTTTGCAACCCCAGACCAAAAGTAGGAGATCCATTGAGTGCTAGTGACATTTCAGCCCACCATCCTCTGCAGTAGCTGGCAGCAGCAGCCCCTGGGCACTTCCAAGCCCAGGTACCTGGAGCAGCTAGAGAACTACCTGCGCAAGGAGCTCCTCCTGCTGGACCTGGGCACAGATTCTGCACAAGAGCTGAGGCTGCAGGTCAGAGCCACAGACCAAACATGTCAAGGGTGGAAAGAAAAGAAACCTCATTCACCAGATCTTCACTGGGGAAGAAGCCCCTCTGTCTTCTAACTACTCCTCTTTGAAAAGAGGAGTACCCTACAACAGAGCCTCTGGCCTGGTGGCAACAACTAGAAGCTTGAGGAACTAGCCCAGAAACAGAGAATGGTCAATCTAGATGCAGTCCACACTATGGTACATATTAGAGAGGGAGGGACTCTGTAATAAAGAAAAGGAATCTCAAACTTCTGACCTAGACATGACTAAAGCATTACTGAGTGCTGACCATGGGCCAGGCTTTGGGCCCACATACACACATATCCCATACATATTCTTTCTGAATGTAACTTAGAAAGGCAAATACTCTCTCTACTTTGAGTTCAGAATATGAAGCTAGACTCTTCAACACCCTGTCCCACAGGTCTCTGATCCATAGAGAGGGCTACAAGTGGAGGCTAATGGACACAGGATTTGGTAGGCAAGAAGATGACTGCCTGGGCAGCCAAAGAGACAGCTTAGGCAGAATGGCATATTTGGCCTACAGTGGTAGGTTGCTAAGCCTCAGAGCTAGCACTGGTCCTTCCTCTCCAGCTCCAAGGTACTGAGACTTGGGTGGTACCTGGCCAGACTACATTATTAGTAGTCTCATATGGAAAGAGTTTTGAGTCCACTGAGGGTGGGGGTTATGGGCCAGGAAATGATAGGTTCTTTTTTTTATGCCAGCCTTACAGAGAGATTTTTGAGTTCTTCATAGAAGATTTCAAGACATACAAGCCATTGTTATCCTCCATCAAGAATGCATATGAGGTGATGCTGGGTAAGACTGCAGCTTCCTTCTGGACCCCAATTAGAATGAATACAGAGTATCCTAGTCTGACTTTTTGATTCTCTACTACTAACTGATCTTTCAAGGCACTTTTTGCATGCCTTAACCCTTTCTACCCTTTAGAAGGATGGTGAAGCAATATGTACTAAATAGAAGGGACCCAGGGGAGTAAGTTCTGGGAAGGTTCCCTCATCTACTCAGAAAGTACCAAGCAGATTACAGCTACAGAGCCCATATTCCTAAGCCTCTCCATGGGAGAAATCCTGACCCTCAACATGACTCAGACACTGCTTTGTTTTTTCTTTTGCATGGTTGGAGATTGAACCTAGTATCTCATACATAATAAGCAAGCATTCTACCATGGAGCTCTATCCCCATCCCCTGCCCTTCTTTAAAAGCAAGTGTGAGAGAGTGTGGGAGGCACTGGAGAGATGGCTGGCTCAGCAGCTAAGAGGCCAGTAGTAGCTGTCCTTCCAGAGGACCTGGATTCAAACTGCAGCATCGACATGTTAGTAAACAATTATCTGTAACTACATTTCCAGGGGATCTGACCTCCTCTTCCCATCTCTGAAGGCACACACAAGTTTCACAGACATATATGCGGGCAAAACACCCACATACATCAATGACCTTAGGCTCTGTGACTCCTGGCTATTTGCTCACTGTGGCTGCCCAAAGGCTTTTCTGCCTGTCTTTATGTCTTTTTTTTCTTTGAGACAGGGTCTCTATGTAGTCCTGGCTGTCCTGGAGCTCAGTTTGTAGACCAGGCTGGTCTAGAACTCAGAGATCCTCCTGGCTTCTGCCTCCTGAGTGTTGGGATTAAAGGTGTGCACCACCACGTCCAGCCCACCTATCTTTGCTTAGCCCACCAAAGGGAGAAAATTCGGGCCCTAGAGCCCCTGAAGGCCAAGATTGTCACTATGAATGAGGACTGTAGTGAGAGGATCCTGGCCATGAGGGCAGAAGAGAGGTACGAAATCTCTGTGCTCAAGAAAGAGAAGATGAATTTGCTAAAGCTCATTGATAAAAAGAATGAAGAGAAGGTCTCATTGCAGAGTGAGGTGAGTGGATATGGTAATGCTAGCAAAGCCCCCAAGCTCCTGCTCTGCCTGTAGCCTGGGTGTTTGAGGCACCCGGGGGGCAACCGGAACCCCACCTACCCTTCTGCCTGGAACGGAGGAGCCATCCCCATCCCCAGGAGCCCCTATTATTTTCGCTGTGCCTGGCTGTAGTGCCCAGCATAGACTCCAGTGTGGCACCAAGTGCCAGCAAGCTCTCATGGGCTGAAGCACTGACATCTTGCTGGGTTCTCAGGCATGGTCACTTTCCTAAGCTCAGGCGACTATCAAGCAATAATCACACCCCTGTGCTGACTAACTGCCAATGCGGACTCCAAGTCACTAAATACTGTCATATACTCCCTGCCCCACCCCTGAAGGTGACTAAACTGAGGAAGAGCTTGGCTGAGGAGTACCTTCGCTACCTTACTGAGCGAGATGCCCGCAAGATTCTTATCGGGGACCTGAATGAGCTGCGATACCAACGAGAAGACATGTCACTAGCCCAGTCTCCAGGTAATCCAAGCCAGGTTTCTTTCCTGAGGTGCTGAAGTCTGTCTGTCACCGTTTACATTCCTAATATTATCTTACTATCCTGTGTCCATATATGGCAGGAGATATGTAGGCCACTAGCTGAAGCTGTGGATTTTTTGGGGGGGGTTCGAGACAAGGTTTCACTGTGGCTTTGGAGGCTGTCCTGGAACTAGCTCTTATAGACCAGGCTGGTCTCAAACTCAGAGATCCACCTGCCTCTGCCTCCCGAGTGGCTGGGATTAAAGGCATGCGCCACCGCTGCCCACTGAGGCTGTGGATTTTTTAAGCTCAACTGAAAATCACCAAATAAAGTAGGGAATTTTAACAGTGCTGGAAGCAGAGACTCTGTGGGCAAGTGAAGCATGGAACCACATGTCTTGGACTTCTGTACTTAAGCCTGAACCCTTAGGGTAGTGATGCTGTAGACCCAAAGAATCCCAAACAGAGAAGGTATATTAGTTATTGCTGTGATAAAACACAGTGACCAAGGCAACTTATAGAAGGATTTCCCTTTCTTTTTTTTTTTTTTTTTTTTTTTTGAGGCAAGGTTTTTCTATGTAGCCCTAGATGGCCATCCTGAACTCCGCGACCAGTATGGCCTCAAAATCAGAGATCTGCCTGCCTCTGCTTCCAAGTGCTGAGATTAAAGGTGTGTGCTACCACTGCTCGGCTAGAAGGAAGGGTTTCTTTGGGAATTAGGGTCCCAAATGGATATTAGTCTATCAAAATCATGGCAGGAAGCACAGGCAGTAGGCAGGCAGGCTCTAGAGCAGCAGTTGAGAGTTCACATACAGTTCCACCGTCAGGAAGCAGAGAACAGTGAGGATGACGCTGAGTCTTTTGAAACATCAAGGCTGCTCTCAGTGACAAAAGTCCCCAACAAGGCCATACCCCTGAATCCTTCTCAAATTGTCCCACCAAGTGGGGACCAAGTGTCCAAACATGTGAGCCTACAGGGGCCATTCTATTCAGACAGTATGCCCCAAGCAATTAACCCAACCCTAGGTATAAGCTCCAGAGCCAGGGTGACAGACAGACTGGTGGGACCCTGGCAGGTGTTTGGGGAGAGGACCCTGTAAAGCTAACACTGGCACTGAAGATGACTCGACAAGACCTGACCCGCACTCAGATGGAACTCAACACCATGAAAGCCAACTTTGGAGACGTCGTACCCAGGAGGGACTTCGAAATGCAGGAGAAGACCAACAAGGATCTTCAAGAGCAGGTGCTGGTGGGCAGGTAGGGTCAGATGTGGAAGGGTACATACGGGCAGGCGATGGATAGCTCGGACCAATTGCCTTGCCTCCAGCTGGAAAGCCTAAGAGCTGACTATGAAGAGGTCCGGAAGGAGCACGAGATGTTGCTGCAGCTGCATATGAGCACTCTGAAGGAGCGGGACCAGTTCTATTCGGAGCTGCAGGAGATTCAGCGCACCTCCACACCTCGACCTGACTGGACCAAATGTGAAGGTAATGGTTACAGGGGCTCCAGAGCCTGCTAGAGGACATGGACTTGGTCCTAGCTTCTCTCCACCCACAGGCATCATAGCAGGGGGCCCGGAACGATGGCTAATGTTGGCTGAAGGAAAGAACAGTGACCAGCTGGTGGATGTGCTGCTGGAGGAGATTGGCAACGGTCTGCTTCGCGAGAAAGACTTCTTCCCAGGGCTGGTAGGGGAGTCCCTGAGCCAGAGGTCACTTATGATTCTGGGGGAACTATCTGGGGCTCTTTCCTGTTTAGACACAGGGCAACAGAGGGGTCCAGTTGTGATCCAACACTTCGTTTCAGGGCTTTGGGCAATCTGTCCCTGCTTTCCTTCGCTTTGATGGCCCTGTGGAGAACAAGAAGCCGAGCAAAAAGGAGGTGGTAAATCTCCTTGAGGATGCCTGGAAGGAACGTCTTGCAGAGGAGCAGGTCAGCTCTCACTGGTTATGATACATTGCCTCTGTGTAGCTTTCAGATTCTGGGTCCTTTAAGGAGTTCCCTCAAGGTGGTAGGGAGCAGGGTTGGGGGCTAAGCAAGCCTGGGACACGCTGACCAAGTATTCTCACCCTACAGAAAGAGTCATTCCCAGATTTCTTCTTCAACTTTCTGGAGCGACGCTTTGGGATCAATGACGCGATAGCCTGGGCTTACACCATTTTTGAAAATATCAAGCTCTTTCGCTCTAGTGAAATAATGAGTCAGTTCTATGCAGTGTTGATGGGGAAGGTGAGCTTTGGCCTAGGCCCCACCTGTTACCCTCAGTCAAATAGAAAGGGCTTTTGTCTCCAGCACAGAATGGCTCTACCCCCACGGCTCTAGTAAGAAGCATATTAGTAACTGCTCCCCTCGTTGTAGAGGATGGAAAGTGTATATATCAACCAAAAGGAGACACTGTCCCATCTGCTGAAGGAGATGACAAATGTTGACACTCAGAACGAGGGGTTAATAGCCATGGATCAATTCAGGTAAGAGGCTAGTGAAGCCACTCCTAGTCCATTATCTTGGCTCGTCAGGTTCTCGGGTATGCAGGAAAAAGGGGCATCTCACAGGAAGGGTCACAGCCTCAAAACCTGCTGTCCTCACCAGGTACAGTGGCACATGTCTGGAATTCTAGGGCTTGAGAGATAAAAGCAGGAGAGTCATTTAATTCTAAGCCAGCTTAGAACAAAACTGTTCCAAAACATGCCAGGCATAGTAGTATATGCCTTTAATTCCAGCACATGGGAGGCAGAGACTGAAGTATCTCTGTGATTTTGAGACCATCTAGGTTTACAGAGTTGTAGGCCAATCTGTGTCAATACAGAAAAAAAAAAAAAAAAAAAAATTCAAACCAAAAAAAGTTTGGGAGGCTAAGGTAGGAGGATCATTATGAGTTCAAAAACTCAAAAACAAGAACCTGTGGAAATACTAGTAAGGATGGCCCAGGGGAATGAGAAGGTGAGTAGATTGCCTCAATCAGTCAGGCCATTGGCATTCTTCCTTTCCTACAGCACCATCCTCAAGAATACCTTTCCTCTCAAGAAGGAAGAGCAAATTCAGGAGCTAATGGAGGCAGCAGGCTGGAGTTCAGACAGCAACAATACAGAAGTGTTCAACTACCGAGTATTGTTTACCGAGGTGGGTGGAGACACATAATTTCCCTAGTCTTATTTAAACTATAGTCAATATGACCTCACCCTGCCTTCTCCCATACCTTGCCCCATAGGATGAGGAGGGCCAGAGTGAGCCATTTGTGCAGAAGATATGGGAACAGTATGACAATGAAAAGGAAGCGTACTTACAGGAGTTGAAGCAGGATCTGGGCCTAGATGTGTGAGTGACCCTGGGCCCCAAAGTCCTACTGAGACACTGGCAAATCCCACAGGTGGGACAGGCCCTATCAGATAGCATCTCAGGTGTCTGAGTCTCCCTGTGCAACAGGAACTATTAACTGCTCAAACCTGACAGAAAAGTGGGCACCTCAAAGTCCAGGTACAGACAGAAGAGCTCAAGCCAGTTAACCTGTCTTTCTCTCCTTGTGGGAAGCCTCGATGAGGTGAGCCTATTGAAGATGCGTGGGGCCCTGATGAACATCGATCCCAGCCTGGACAAACAGACGCTGAATACCTACCTGAGCCAGGCCTTTCAGCTCCCTGTGGCAGAACTACCATTGGAGGATGAAGAGAAGCAGGAGGAAATTGTGGTGAAGCTTGAGACTGCACTTGAACAGCTTCGGATGGCAGACACCAAACGTGTAGGACCTCGAGAGCCAGAACCAGCAAGCTAGAACCTCCATGGACAGCTTAAGTACTCTAACGGTGCTAAACTTCCAGTATAAAATTCTTTATCTAAATTTATATTTTCCAAGCTATGCTGGACAGTCAAGTGTTGGTGTATGGGGGAAGAGGATCTGGGCAGACCCTAAGACATGCACAAAGAGCAGAACCCATTTGTGAGATTTTATTGGTGATCGGAGAGGAGGAGACCCTGATGATCGTGTGGGTCTAAGGTGTCCAAGTTAGGGAGAGGGCAAGGGTTACGACTTGGCCACTACTGGGCAGGGAAGACAGAATTGCCACTGGATGCACAGGGGATGAGTAGCTGCCGGTACTCCAAGGGCAGGTACCGCTCCACAAGCACATGCAGCGAGACTTGATCAGTGACTAGTCGCTGCCTGTATTAGAGGAAAAGAAGGTCAGTCACAATCAGCACTAGCACTCCACGCTCAACCTCCCTTTTATGTCCACTTACCGTCGCAGCAGCAGCTCCAAGTCCTCTAGCTTCACAGTCTTACGGCCAGCATGAGCAGAAAATGCTTCCAGGTCATTGCAAAGGTGCTGGAAATACTTGTCTAAGCTACAAGAAGGTTGGCATAGAGTAGATTGAGCAGTCTGTTTATGAAACAACACCTCTGCCCACTCACATGCTAGACTCACCACTTCTCCACCATCTCAAGAGCCTTCTTCTCCACAGGCATCTTAGTATAGAAGCTGAAGAGCTTCATATAGTGGCCCAGTCCAGCTTTGTAGGGGTCATGGTGGTGCCTAGGACCTACAGTTCGGGTCCTGGCTGGAATCCTAGTAGGCACAGACTCCGGGGGCTCTGAACTTGAGGACAGGAGAAGACAGAGGTGACTGAACTGCTGTTTGGAAAGGCCCTCACTGGAGGACAAGTCCTGCTGGCTCTGCTGAAACTGGGACTGTTGTTCATTAAGTAGATTGAATAAGAAATCTATCAGTCTGGGGTGGGGTGGGGGAGGCAGAGGCAGGCAGAGCTCTGTGAATTCCAGGACAGTCTGGTCTACAGAGCATGTTCCAAGACAGCCAGGGCTACACAGAGAAACCCTGTCTCAAAACAAAGACCTGTTCTCTCCCTGTGATCTTGATCCTCCAGTCTAGACTTAACTTCAACATATATTCAGGTTCCGCCTCAAGCTTGTTGAACCTCAGGTCTCAAACTGGATAGTCTCTCCCCCTCAGGAATCCATGACAACCTCCTGTGCCAAGCCTACTAACGGCCTCCAGGAAGCCTTCTATGATTATATACTGACCTAGGAGTTTCTCCCTTACCTAGGCTTCCTATATTCCTGGAGACAGGTACCAGGATGACAGATAGCCAGGCTATCACTACCAGGCTGGAGATGCTTGGCAATCATTTGCAAATCTAGGAGGACTTAAATATGTACAGTGCCAGCTTCAGGACATCCCCTTCCCAACAACAGGGTTTCTTACACTGCAACTCCCAGTGGTATGGACGGCTGGAGAGACTGATGGGGCTGCTCAGCCTGGAGTAAGTCATAGGTGCCAGAGGCTAACTTTGGACTTGCTGCAAAGAAAGAGTAGTGTCACAAAGGGTTCAGGCTTGACCATCTCACAAAGCTGTACAGGTCTAGTCTCCTTTTTTCCCTTCCTTCCTTCCTTTTGTTTTGTTTTTAGGGTTTCTCTGTGTAGACCTGGTTGTCTTGGAACTCACTCTCACTCTGTACACCCGGCTGGCCTCGAACTCTGAGATCCACCTGCCTCTGCCTCCTGAGTGCTGCTGGGATTAAAGGCCTGCGCCACCATGGCCCAGCCCTTTTCTTAATTCTTAAGGGCCTCACAGAGCTCTAGGCAAGTGATTGTCCCTTATACTCTCCCTGGCCTCTAAAACTACCAGTTCCCAGAAACAGCCCAGGCATGTTTTCTTCTGTATGATAGGACCTAACAAGTTAGTGACACTCACTTGCTGATGCCTGCACTAGGCCTGGTCTGCCAGGAGTATCTTCATGCCCTGAAGAGCCTTCTTGCTCCTTGGCCTCCACAGCCTCCTGGGATCCCACTGCTTCTTTTATTTCTGGAGGCTGAGGCTGTAGCTCTGAGAAGGGTAAAGGAGGAGTACCACAGCTGGTTCTGCTCACTGAGGGGAGAACAAGATGAGGCAGCGTCATTGCACTGATTTGGGATCTCCTGGCCCAACCCTGACTCCGCTCTTGGGTGGAGGAGGAACTCCTAAACAAGGATTCTGGGGCACACATATGAGTTGGAGGAGGGAAATCCACCTATGTTAACTCTCACCCAGGATGAGCTTGGCTCCAGGCCAGCTGCCCCTTATACTCACTGTGCTTCTCCAGCCCAGTCTCAGTGCTTCGTGTCCTTCGGCCTACACCTCTTTCAACACCTTCAACCTCAGAGTGAGAAGGGCTGGGCAGGGAGTGATGTGCTCTAAGGGAGCAGCCAACCGAAGGCTGTGAGAACGGCTGGGTGTCTTCCAACACTGCATCCATTGGCAGAGTAGCAACAGGGGTTCTATAGTTATCACCTAGAGATCAAGAACCAGATAAAATCTGTATTCTAGGCACACCTGCTAATACTGTGAGGGTGCAGGCAGTGAGACATGAGGGTCTTCTCTGCCTATGTGACCTCCAGAATGAGATAACCTACATTCTAAGCCTTTGTCTTCCATTGCCTTCCTTGCCACTCCTCCTGGTCCTTCCTCTGACATTGCCAGGCCTCTTTAACTTGCTTCCACCCCAGAAAACTGCTTACTCATGCCTCAACTGTCTACTTCTTCCTCTACTCAGCACTTTCTGTCAAACATTAGTGAACTTATACCCTGGAATCAGGATCCAAGGTTAGTGCTACGATCATGAAACCTGTTTTTGCAACAAGCTCTGGCCACCATACTGTACCCTTTTCCTTCTACCCTCAGCCCTGTAGTTCAAGAATATAAAGTAATAGAAGACACAGAGATACTAAGGCTAGATTATTATTTTATTTATTTATTTCTCCTAGAGACAGGGTTTCCCTGTGCAGCATTAGCTTGCTCTGTAGACCAGGCTTGCCTCAAACCCACAGAGATCCATCTGTCTCTGTCTCTCAAGTTTGTGGAGGGTTCCCAATCCTGGCTATGATGGCTATGCTTGGTTATCAGCTTAACTTCATCTGGAATCAACTAAAACCCAAATGACTAGGCACACTTGTGATGATTTTTTTTTTCTTAACTAAATCATTTGACATGGGAAGACCCATTTCTAATCCAGAAGTGGGAAGACACATCTTTAATCTGGACCACACCTTGTACTGGCAGCATAAAAGGCAGGGAGAAAGGAAGCTTAGTCTTGTTGCCCATGCCCATTTGTTCTCGTTCTCTCTCTCTCTCTCTCTCTCTCCACACACACAAACACACACACACACACACAAAGTCCATTCCTTCACTGGCAATGAAGCCTACTTCCTTGAGATTCCAACATATACTGAAGGCCAGTTGAGACATCCAGCCTTGTGGACCTAACAAATTACTGGATTTTTGGACCATCCTTTCGTAAGAGCCATGTTGGCTAGCAGCAGCGCAGCCTGTAAGCCATTCTAATAAATCTCATTTTATATATTCATTATAATATATTCTTATGCATATTATAACTCATTAATTTTCTAAGTTCCTCTAAAGAACCCTGACACATACAGGAGCACTTTGTAAAGAAAGCAGAAATGCAGAAATTCTTCATTGATACCTGGCCAGGCTCATACAGTGACAACAGTGTCCTTGACCTTACCAAAAGTGGAACAACCCTGAATTCAGCAAAGCCTCCTGTCCCTCATAGAGTGGTAGCTTCTCTCTAAAGCTGGAAATGGGAATCTCAACCTTACCTGGAAGAGCTGAGGTCAAGGAATTATCTTCTAGATCCTGCAGAAGAACACCTACATCCACAGGCCGGCGTATGGGACGTCTGCGAGCCAAACCAGGTCTCCCCACTGACTGTAACTGACGAGGTGGGACAAAGCTGAGGTTGAAGGAGCTGTTAAGATGGAAACAAAGTCAGGTGGTAGTGCATGCCTTTTAATACCAGCACTCAGAAGGCAGAGGCAGGCAGATCTCAGTGAGTTCAAGGCCAGCCTGATCTACAAATCTACAAAGTGAGTTCCAGGACAGCCAGGAGTAGTACAGAGAAACAAAGAAAGAGTGAAACATCACTTCTCCAAAGGAGCTCATCTCTTACATTATGGTCCCATGATATAAGGCTAAATCTAACAGTAAGCCTATTGCAAGATTCCATCAGTTAACATGCCCCTCAAGCCTCTGCTCCATCAAACCCCAGAACAGGGAAAAATACCTGGCCAAGGATGAAGCATCAGCATTCCCAGGTGGCTCTGTCAGCGCCCATCAAGACAGTGTAAAAAGAACAATCCATAGTGAGTTACTCAGCCCCATGGAAGCACACTCAGGTCTCTTCGACCTCAACAGAGGAGAGAGGAACAGCACAGGTGTGTCCTAGGACTCACCTTGGGAGAGAGGCAGCCCCTGGTTCACTTCCTGCTCGAATACTGACAATCTCAGCCTTTGCTTGCTTCTACCAGTGGCTGGCAGACGTGGAGCTAGGGTTGAGGGGCGTTCCAGATCAGGAAGTTGCAGCTCCAGGCTATAAGGATGGAGTTTATCTCAGACATGTCAGAAAGCCCAATTTTATTTTCTGGGGACCCCAAGAGGTGGCTCAGCCTATGAGGAAATTTCACTGTGTACCTTCCCGGACTGCTTTCCCGTCTGGAAGACTCTACCATCTCTGGTACTTGTACTGGCTTCACCACTGAGACTGGCATCACGATAGAAGATTCTGGGGCTGAAGCAATAACAAGGGAGGGTAGGGCTCTAACAAAGAAGGATAAGAAAGAAGGGTACCATAGGCCTGGCTATTGGACTAGCACTGAATGTTAGCTGGCAGGCTAGCACCCACTTACCAGTTAGTAAGATGTTCTTCAGCAGGGTCCGGGGTGTCTGCTCCTCCAGGTGCCCATGGGCTTGAACACCAGCCAGTCTGACAACTGACTAGAAGGAAAGCACCACGTCTATATTTTTGCCTGGAGAACCCCTCAAGTTATGCTTC